TTTCCTTAGGCTAAAATCTAAACTCTCTTGTCCTAAAAGGCCCTACATTTTCTGGCCCCTTCCCTCTTCTCCATCCTCATCTCACTGTTTGGTGCTCTACCCAGAGTTATGGTCTTCAACCTTCTTCAGCCCATAAGCTCCTTCCTACCTCCAGCTTTCGCATGCCTGCCTGAGACCACCTCCCAAATGTACACCTTGGCATGGATACCTCCTGACTTGTAAGACTTGGTTTACTAAGTACCTTTTAAGACTTGGCTTAAAACTTACTTCCTTGGAGAGATGCTTGCTGAACATCCTTCCTTAAGTAGGTTCCTCATGTTAATCTCAGTATCTTTCTGGTTTCTATCAAAGCAATGACCAAAATGTACAAGGCTTCTATCAAGATGTTTAATTATTTATGTTCTTTCCCTTGACTAGATGGCAAGATCCACAGGGTTGCAACCATGGCAATCTTTTTTTTTTTTTTTTTTGAGACATAGTTTTGCTCTTGTTGCCCAAGCTGGAGTGCAATGGTGCAATCTTGGCTCATTGCGACCACTGCCTCCTGGGTTCAAGTGATTCTCCTGTCTCAGTCTCCTGAGTAGCTGGGATTACAGGCATGTGCCACATACCCAGCTAATTTTTTGAATTTTTAGTAGAAACGGGGTTTCAGCATGTTAGCCAGGCTGGTTTCAAACTCCTGACCTCAGGTGATCCACCTGCCTCGGCCTCCCAAAGTGCTGGGATTACAGGTGTGAGCCACCATGCCCGGCCAACCATGGCAATCTTATTCATCATTGGTTTCCTAACATCTAATCAAGAACTTAACCATTTGGGGAAAGAATGGACAAATGAGTGAATAATAAATAAAAAAATGAATAAATGAAGGTCTTAGTAGCCAATGGCACAAGAAAGAGATATATCAGATCCTCACTTATACAAACTCTGAATTGCATTAAAAGCATCAGTAGGTGCCCCTGTACAGGAAGTGTAAAAGAAAACCTGTACTTTGCATAGAAACCTCCACTTTGTATAGAAACCTCTGCTTTTTATAGAGCTCAGAGCTCTTTCCTTCACTTTTTTTTTTTCTTTTTGGCAGTAATTAAATTTCTCTAGTCCCCGGACAAGCACAGGCTGAGTGTCCAGACCCTGTCTGCTAAAAGAAGGCAGGAGAGACATGAACTTCCTAGCCAAAATAAAACATCTCCTGCATCTTTCTTTCGTTCTTTCAGAGGGGAGGCATGGCAGGGGGTTCCACTGGGCCTTCCAGCACTGCTTCTATTTGTAAAACATCCCTTTCTCATGTCTAAGTGTTCTGGGATTCATATTTTTACTCACCATAACATTGTCCATGTGCTGGTGGCATACAGCTACAATTCTTCATTTTGAACAGACTGCATCTACTAGCATCACAGCCCCATGCCAAAACGTGTTAATGCCACATCTGTATTTTTATGAATTGGGTCCTAAAAATTTGCATATGTTTTCAATCAAAAAAGACTAATCCCTTTCTAGTGGTTTAAGAAATAAAAACTTGTGTTCTCTGCTCAATTATAAGAGTTCACAGTAAAAGCTCAAACATTCAAATGTCAAGGCAGATGCGGCACATCTCACAAGGTGCCTCAATTGGCTCGTCCATTGCCCACTTCATTGATGTTTACAAACCCAAATGTCTCTGGGGCTGGGGTGGGGGCATCCAAGGAAAGTACCTTCATTCTATGCAAATGAAGGAGTATTTGCTGATACAAATGATACCTACATCAAGTGGATTTCCCTGAAGGAAAGTTATGGAGAATTGAGTGGCTGCTTTTCACACATTTTGCAAGGCAAGATAGATAGGAAATACCGTTAGGGCTCCAAGAGCACATTTTCACAATTGAAAGTATATGTGCACGTGGGGCTTGGGGGTTTGGTGGTGAGAGGTGTGGTCGAATATACATTGCCAGAGATGCCTATGAGGGCAACAGCTTGCTGGAAATGTGATCCCATGGAGTCTCTAGAAGAAACCCAGAACAATGAGGCTGGTCACAGGTAAATCTTAGACATAAGAAAACAAGAGTGTGGATGATCCAACAGGGAAGGGGAGTATAGAGAGAATTTGGAAGCAGAATATAGGAATATATGGTGGGTGCAAGCAGCATAGACTACATAATTAGTGGCACTCAGGGCAAACGAACATGAAAATTTCAAGACGGTGACAGCAGAGTTTTAACCTAAGAGTGGAGCCCTTCTCAGTGTAGCCCTTCTCAGGGCTGTGGACTGCACAAGCCACACGCTGATAAAACCAGGTCTGGGTGTGAGGTTTAAGAGGAGAAAGGCTGGCTCTAGGGACTGTCTAAACTCTTTCGTAAAGTAAACTTTCCCTGGTCCACTGTGTGCTTGGAAAATATCACTCCTGAATGATCATAGTGAGACAAATAAATCATGTCAGGACTTCGTCTCCAGAAGCGGCAAAGAAGGGAGGAGCTGATGGGGTTGTTATGCTAATTCAAATTTGTTGTAATTTTTAGAGAGATTTTTTCTAAATTATGATTCATTTCAGCACCAGAACTCCAGATTCAACTCAGAGCCTTCTGATGCTATTATGAGCATATTACTGATGCCTAGTAAAATAACATCTTGTAATGTTTCTTTTATAGGGGCCATAAATCAAAACATTCAAAACAGTTAATTTTTAATGTGCCATTATTATCCATCCTTAGTTATAAATTTAATGTCTCCTAAGGCCTCATGGATTGTAATGCAACTCAAAACATGCAACAGCTGCTCAAAAACAGAAGGTTCCCCCAGTATCTCATTATTTAAATCCTTAAAGATATGGTTTTAAAAGCCTGAGGATATCTAAGCAAACTTGTTTAAAGGAGTCATAAAGAAAGATAAGTAGTTTTCCTCTGAAGCATATGAAATTTATTACAGCATACTAAAGAAGGATTATATATTGACTAAATTTCTAAAAAACATTTATTTTCTGGGGTGTATGGTGTTTGGGGAAATAAAGGGGATAAATAGGGCTTAACACAATTGTCGGCATTTGCCTTAAGCAAGGCAAGATTTTCTATCGGTCTTGGAGCCAATTCCATCGTGAGGATAACAACACTGTTCATATCTCAGGGTGTCGTGAATCTTGTGAAAGGACAATAAAAAATCTTCATTATTCCAGAGGACACGCAAGTGCAGCCTAGCACCCCGATACTCATGATGGCAGAAGTAGCTTCACAGAAGAGCCCCGAGTAGGAGCTCTGCTTTTCAAGACAACTCCCAAACTCTTAGAACTTTCCTTTACCTACCTACGCTACACAGGTTTGGGGCAGGCTTCACATGTTTGCTTTTTAATGCCATAAAACCCTTTTTTCTCATTTCTTTTTACTTTAGGTCAATCTCCACTTTTATTAGCTTTTCTGTGTGAGTAAATATGACATTTCTCTTAATGTTTTCCCTAGATAAAGAATTGCTCCCATAGAACATCCAGAACTTCTCTGATTTCCCCACGTCCTTATACTAACAAGCTTTCCTATGGAATGATTTTGCATCTGGAAGTGTTCGTTCCAGTGCTGTTTTCCCCTTTACCAAGAAAATGGAGAAGAGATGAGATACTCCTGTATTAACATGAAGCAGGTTTTACTGGCAGCAAATGGATCCAGGAGGCATTACATCTTTACTATGTAAAAGATGTAATCTTTACTATGTTGTACCTGAAAACAACCATCCTGTGAACGTCCCTCTCAGTACCAAAAAAAAGCAAACTGACCCATTAGTGGGACCAATAACAGGTTCAACTAAGAAGTATAATACAACAATGAAACTCACCCACAGGCAAAATTTCCAGTTCTAGGTAAAACTTCACCTGAAGCACCACTTGCCATGCTATGCGAAGAAGGCAAGACTCAGGAGAGAAACACACAGGCTAAGTTATCCCAAAGAATTGTCCCACACCTGTTGATTCTCCAGCACTGTGACATTTCATGCTTGTCCCAGAATAAAGAACTATACATTGAATACTTTCTGATCAGAAGAATTCACTATGGCACACGATCTACTACATTCCTTGTTCAGAATAAAGTGTCATTTGTAATGTTGTCAGGTTTAATACCATATTCTATGTAACCATATGTATATTCAACTCCAGGGAGCTTGTGACTTGGTGTTAAACAGACTGCAGTACACAGGAGAGGTGCAATTCCCAGCAGCAAAAGTTGCTAGACTTCAACGTTCCATTTATAACCATGTGGTAATTACATGTGTCACTATTCAATCGTAATGCAGACAGGATGTAAATAACGGGTGAGCTCTTAAGATCAGCTTTTAAAAGTACAAAACCCTCTGATAAATACAATGTGTGCAAAGCCCCACAGAGGTATAATTTTTGAAAAGCAACAGACAAAATGTCACTAACGAGACTTGCTAATAAGAATATTTCTATTCTAATCCATTTAAAGAGTTACAGTTACCCATTCACCATTACTATGCCTTGATCCTGTGTTTTCTTCAGAACTGCCATAGAAGAGATGGCACAATCCATTAAACAGGCTTCTTAGAGATGATAGTTTCAGCTCCATGAAGATAGATAGTTTTATTTTCCTTATTCCTTGCCAAACATTTGACACAACCAGAAGGACGTGAGAGTCACACCACACTGGCATATCTGGTAAAAGCAAGCAGTCGGCTGAAAACCACGACTGGAGAATTGTGACAATTTCCGAGTCCACAATCATGCCTTAAAAAGTGTGTATAAACCCGAGTAAGGGCATAGTTTACATCTCAAATAACATAGAAACATTTGAATCGTGCTAAACCCAGCCCCAACAAGGCAGAGCGGTAATGTGATCATGGGTGGGGAGGTGAGGTAGCATGGAGGGGGCTTTTGGGAAGGGTCGGGGCACGCTGACATTCTGCGCTCACAGAACACAGTAGCAAACACAGGGCACAATTCACAAACATCAGCGAGCACAATTGAGCACGCACACAATACAACACTAGAATGCAATATTTTAAGAAAAATGATATAAAAGATGGTTTCTCACCCCTCAAAACAAAACTGGAACTTTGGTTTACAGGCCCGGCTATGCCCAGATGCCCTCCTCGTCATCCTGCGGCCGGCCCGAGGTGGGGAGGTGCACAGAGAGGAGGGGAGCACCAGAATGAAAGAAGAGAAGGTTAGTTACACCGAGATGCACTGGAAAGGCACACTAATCTTCACTTTGTATTTTAATCTTAAAGACTGAGAAAAAAAAATCCCCAGTAACTTAAGTTCCACATCACCGACTTGTCAAATACATAACCAAGTTTGGTAACTATGGCAACCCACACACAAAAACATTCCACCCACCCAGCTCTGACTCTGTGTCAAGATTGGATTAGAAGATTAAAATTAGTCTACATTAGCAGATGATTATTTTTTTGGAAGGCATGCAATCTGAATTGCATATGCCTAAGGAGTAGATTAAACCTTTTAAGTAAGCAGAGAAGTAATTATAGTAATCAAATACCCTTAATTTCTCTTAAGCTTAAAGTATCAATAAAGGCTGAAGAAGAATTAAAAAACACACACAACTCTATCTACTTGGGTGGAACAAACTTTTCAGCATGCGATAATTCATATTGGTTATTCCACAAAGGCTCAAACATGCTGCGATCTTCTTAGTTGACAGATTCTATTTTGCTCTCAGCATGAAAGAGGATGCACCCGCGATGGAATGATTAGACATTTGCAATCAAATAGTTTCAAAGAAAAGAGAGGTAAGCTTTCAATTCAGTAGAATGCTTGTAGAAAGAAAGTTTTGCTTAACTTAAAATTGTGTTCAACTATGGATAAACTGAAACTCCTTTGGCTTGAATTCTTGTTGAAAAGTGTTTCCAAAATAGCTCTGGTAACTTTCCTCACTTAGTGAAGTGGCTAATACACAGGAAAATGGAATATTTGAAGACTGAAGTATATCCACCATAGCAAAGTCCCTGTTTTGAACAATTCTCACAGTTTAATGCAAGGATTGAAACACAGCCTGGTGTCACACTTAATTTGAGAGCTGCAATTTTTAATAGATCTCCAATGAAGTCAGATTTTGTCATGATTTGCTTCTGGTTTTGAAAATCAGGAAGAGGAAAAAAAATAACTTGAAACATTTTCTCATTATTTGACTCCTTATTGGTTAAGCTGTCATATTATTAGGTTGAATCATATGAAAATGCCAATATTTGGCCATTTTTACTTAGAAAAATAGCAGTGTCATACAGTTTGACCTAATCTGGCCAATAGGCCTAGTCATTTTTATCTATTCAAAGATTTATTTTTCAAGTGACTTTCAATACAGTTTATTTACTTTATAGTTCTATGTATTTTGTTTTATGCATTAAAAAAAATATTCTGAGAAGAGATTCAGAGAGTTCATCATACTGCCAAAGGGATCCACGGCCCACAAAGGTTAAGAATCCCTGACTGACTTGAGTCAATCGAGTGATTTGCACAGAGTCCGAACTGGACAACTCAGTATGAATTTTCACTTGACAGCTTAGGTAGGAATATTCTGGCAAAAAATAAAATACATTGATTATTTTAGCTGGGCCTTCCTACATAAAAATTATCTGTGTTTATTATTAAACAGTCTAATAATTGCTCTTGGCAAGAAACTTCCTTTTCCCTATGTGACTTAGGAAAAATGTATTTTTACATTCATTTAACTTCCTCTCTGTCCCTGGAGAAAAGCAAAGTTGATGTTCCTTTTCATCTTCATAAAGCAGGAAAGTTTATAGCATGAGACCCTAGGGCATTCATAAATGGGTTTCAAGGGGTCTAGCAACCCCTTGAAATTCAATGAAGAATGTTGTTGAGTATGTGTGCAAATATATTTCTCTGGATAGAGGCCCTAGCTTTCATCATAAGATTCTTGACCCCCAAAATCGCTGCTGTAGAAAAACTCCAAGCATAGAAAGATGCTATGGTTTGCCAAAGTCGCAAGGCAAAATAGGAGGCTTTCTCTAAAATACAGCTTACAGCCCCTGCGGACTTCTTCCTAAATAGCTACAAAATAACTTTCCGTGCAGAGCAGTTTATTTCATTTCACATTTAAAACCCAATAGCATGCACACATTCATTTTGTTCCAAATCCATTCCTATCGGGTTTTAATTTTTAAAAAAGAAGAAAGTAAGCAAAAGAAAAGCCACCGCCACCAAAACCTATTACTATTTTCTTAACAGTGAAATGTGGTCTAATGCAAATCACTTTTAGCAAATTAAATACATTAAAAAGTGGTAATTAATTATGATTGAAACGGACAGGAGTTGTAGTTTGAAAATACACTCTGCCAATATCACTACTACTGTTCCTCGTCTGCCATAGGAATAAAAAGGAGCTCCCAGATGTCGAGGGTTATTAAAAACCAGATGTTCAGATCGACATCTTGTATGCTGGTGAATAAAGTAAAGAAATATGACAGTCCAATGTAAACTTTGCTAACATTTAATGTGGCAGAAATGTGGATAAATTCCTTTCATGAACTCAGAATACTGTGCATTTTTTAAAGTTTTTAGTGTTTTAAAGTTTAAAGTTTTTAAAAGAAAATAGAGACGTGGTGGCCTTTTCTGGTCTCTCTAATCTTCAAAGCTTAAACATGAATTGACCCTCATTGCCAAGTGATCTGGGTCAGAGTGAGTGTCCGTTCAGGGAATAAAAAACAAAAATGCAGGAGCTAATCAGTGCAGGAGCTCCAAGTCTTTCCAAACATATGCAGCTGTTTCACTGCTGCGCTGCCTGCATCTCTGTATGCAAATATTAAATTGTTCAGCAACCTTACTGCACAGAAATGTAAATTTGGGGATCAAAAATAAGAAACAGACAAGTATCACTTGATCCCTATCTTCATGCTAAGTTGTTTGGAAATACTTGGAGTTTTACAAAGCATCTATCAGGCCTGGGACAGTCTGTTTCCTTTCCTTGTTTTTCTGTTTCCAAATCTACTTTGCAGTGGCTGTTCTGAATGCTGCTTGGTGTTTGATCCCTTGTGTGTCCTTTGTGAGTGATTGTTCTGCCACAAGTTGCCAAAATATCTGGATGGGAAGAAAGACTCTAGTCCATCAGTCATCTGCATGCTTTTGTTCATCTGGGGATGGGAATATCCAAGGTGGACTGAAGCCCAGAGCACAGTGACCACAAAACACAGCAAATTCTGAAGGGGAGGAGGTTTAACTATCAAATAACGCCAGGATACATATACAGTTCCAGGGATGATGTGACGGAGAAGGGGCCTTGATGGAAATCCTGTAGTCTCAGATGCTGCGCCCTAATGGGATTCTCCAAATACTGAGATAAAACAAAATTCCTTACCGATGGGCTGCTCATAGTGGCTATGTTTATGACAAGCTCTAAAGGCAAAGGGACTGAGTCACCATTGACAAGACAAGGACTTGCTGTTGTGGGGGGTGGGGGGGCATTTATTAGCTCCAGCAAAGAAGCTCTGAAAAGAAACTCTATAATCTGACATGATAAATGGTTCACTGTAAACCTTTAATTGGTCTCCATTTTGAAGTATTAGGTATAGCCAGCAGGCAAACCTGAGGCCACCACTATATTTATTTTTTTTAAAAAACACCTACAATTCTCTTTGAGTTGATAGCTGTTTTGTTTTGTTTTGTTTTGTTTTGTTTTGTTTTAAATCAAAGAATTAAGTTCTTAATGGAGATCTTACTGTCACACCTGTCCTAGCAAGGAAGGAGAGTAGAATCAGGGAAGTATCACTTTCAAGTAGCCTACTGCCTTTCCGGGAACTCAGCCGAGGTCTTTGTCAGAAGTTCCACACCTGGCTTCCTTGCTGGAAGGGGTGCAAGGAGATAGATGATCCCAGTTGTAACTAGGTCTGGTGTAGGCAATCTTCAGACTCGCCTCCACTCCTACTTCTTTCATGGCTTCTCTAAAACTTTCTGAAACTTCAAGCCCCGGGACTTTGCAAAGTTTGACTGCACAAGTCATGAAAGCAAGATCACAGTGTGGAATTTATGGTGTGCCCTGATCCTGTTCTCAACCAAAGCAGTTCCTGTTAGCATTTCCAACTGCAGGCTTGGCCAGAGCTGGGAAAAACAGACAAAAAAGGAAAACAATAGGCTTAGGCATGAGCCTGGCAAAGTGGGGCACTGAGCCACATCAGGGCACTAGTAAGTTTTCTCCTAGGGTCAAGTCCAAACTTTCCCTCTGGAGACCATTCATTTGTGGTTTTCATCTCTCCTGCTTCCTGGAATGCTTAGTTCATGGATGAATGTCTCTTTTCAGGTGATGGGGTCAGGTATGGCTATAAATTCTTACATGACTTGTATTTATTATAACCTCTGGGGCCCATTTGCAGGTAAGATCCCCCTAAAAATAGGAAAGTCCTAGCCAGGTTCAAAAATCTACTTCCTGCTCTTTTAAAAATAAATGTTAGCTTATTTCTGAGCTGGGCTAGAAAAGAGCCAGTGTGCATTGCCCCTTTTCCGGTTAGAAAGAGTGCTGACGGCTTTGTGTGTTTCCTCTCTGAGTCTCACCGAGGCCCGGTGACACAGGTGTCAGGAGGCTCTTTGTGCAGATGTGGGAAGGAAGGCTCAGGGAGGGAGGTCAGGTAGCTTATCAAAGGCTACCCGGTCAGATGCTGTGGTGCCAGGGTCAAACTCCAGCCCATCTAACCACAAAAGTATACCCTTCTGACTCTACCATATGTGCTGTGCAGCCACAGAAAGGAGAGCTCACTTTGACCCCAAAAGGCATTTGTTGGTTCTGCTTAGCTTGGCTCTAGAGTACTTTGAACTTGGTTCTGCCTTCTTTCCAAACTGTTGAAGACCCTGGTTGGAACTGGAAGCTACAACTTAAGTTGGGTCATTCCGGCCCTTGGAAGAAAGGGGTCTTCACTTGCAAGTGGAAGCTATTTACGTGAACGTATCAGTAGCACCCCAAGACATTTTAAGATCTCTGAGGGGAAAGGCAGCACCTTTACTTCCTTCATACTGTGCCACAATTCTCAGATGTGGGAACTTAGATATTTCTAAATGAGTAATTACGGAAGGCTCAGTTCTCACTGTTTTGAATGACTGGATTCCTCTGAAGGAATATGCTGCCTGGATTCCAGA